GGGTGGGTGGGGTGGGTGGTGGTGATGGTGGTGATGATGGTGGTGATGGTGGTGAGATATTGGTGGTGAGATAATGGTGGTGGTGATGATGTTGGTAATGATTACAGGCAGGGGTCGGGGGGTTGTGTGTGGGGGGGGGAGCCATGACAAGCAAGTGAGGGGGTGATGGGGTAAGGGGAGAGGGAAACGGGGGAAGGTAGGAACGGTACGGAAATAACCGTGCAAATAATAACCGCCTCCACAACCATCTCCACGGCAAACCCAGCTCCCTCATTCCCCCTCCTCCTAACCCCCCGCACCCCCCCCCTCTCACCTGCCAGGCGATTGCGCCAGCACGTAGCCCACCTCTGCCGCCGTAAGCAGCAGCGAGTCAGGTACGATCACGCCGTTGACGGCGGTCTCCCCCCGCGGCGGCGGCAGCTTCGGCGGCCGGCTGCGGATGGGGCCTTCCGTACGGCAGTCACGTGACATCACCCGCTCCCGCCGCTGGAGGTCAAGGTAAGCCGTGTACGAGTCGCCGTTGCCGGCACCTGTACGATATAGCAGCAGCAACGGCAGCAGTAGCGGCGGCGGCGGCGTTAATTATAGACCGCGTCCAGTGGCGGGAGCACTGAACGGGCACAACAACGTACGACAACGTACGACAATGCACCGTACAGGGAGAGCGGGGGAGGGCGGCGGGAAGTGCTAGGAGAAGAGAAAGTTTGAAGATTGAACCGCCTGATGGGCAGTTTAAGGAGACATCAGAAATGGCAGTCCGTAATTCCAATCTTTTCACACACACATACACACACACGCAGTCCCCAAACCTGCCCACACCCTCGCCCCCCCGTTGGTGGCTGCCCCTTACCCCCCCTCTCTCCCCGCACCTCCTTTCAGGGTGCCGCCCCCCAAGTTGACAGGCAGTCCCTTCGCCCCCAGCTTGAGAGTCTGAACGCAACGGGGGCGGCACGGGTGTATGCGTGTGTGTGTATGGGGGGGAAGGGGTTAACGGGGTAGAGGACTGGGAGGGGGAGAAGGATCAGAAGTAAAGCGTGGACTGGGGTTGGGAGTGGGGAGAGGGAGCTGGGGTTCATATATATATATATATATATATATATATATATATATATATATATATATATATATATGTGTGTGTGTGTGAGTGTGTGAGTGTGTGAGCATAGAATACACACCCGCAGTTCCCCGTCCCCCCCCCTTCCCCCACTCCCCCCACGCACCATGGTGCCATCCAGCTCCTCCATGGTCATCGACCGCCGCCAAACCCGACCACCACCACCACCACCATTGCTTCTCCCATTTGCAGGCTGGACCTCCTCCGCTTCAGCATCCTCCTCATCCTCATCCTCATCCTCCTCGTCCTCATCCTGATGGTGGCCATTCACCCGCCGGTCCCCCTGGCTCCGCAGCCGCCCGTTCACCGCCGCCGCCGCCGCCACCGCAGCCGTGCCGCCACCGCCGCCAGCAGAGCCTGTCACCCTTCCTCCTCCGGGGCCCAGCCCCAGTGCTCTGTCCCTGGCTGCCCCGGGCCATCCTGAGCCCGTAAGAATGCACTGCACCGGCTTGGAGTTGAACTCGGCAATACGGACCTGTTGTGTTTTTTTCGTGTCAGGGTTTCCCATTCCCGAGTTCCCGGAAGTTGAGCTTGTTAACTTGTGAGTTGGGGGATTGGGGGGAAAGACGAACCACACACGATTGAAGCTGCTGGTTGGGGGATTGGGGGGGGGGACCGAAAGTTTGGGCATACATGTGCGTGCATGCGCTTGTATGTATGTACGTATGTAGCCCTCAGGTACTCGCAACCACCTTCCCCGCAACCACTTTATTTTCCCCCTTCCCCCTTGCACCCCACCCCCCCCTGTCACCTCAATAACCGCCTCCTCCGTTTTGAAGCTGAGCGGACAGAATGACGTCGTGACGGACACGGTGCCGTGTCCCGGGATCACACCCCGGGAGGGCTCCACGCGGAAACACGGGTTCGGTCGGGTCTCGACAATTTCAAATTCGAAATCGACGGGGACCTACAGATGGAGGGCGGGGGTTGGGGGGTTTGTGTGGGTTGGGTGTGGGATGGCGGGGAAAGGAAAGGGGAATCCAAAAGGTTGAGAGTGAGGTCGGAGGGGCAGCCGGGGTGCGAGGAGTGGATTGAGGTGAGTTGGTGTATGTATGTATGTATGTCCCTCCCTAACCCCCTTCCCTCCACCCCCAGTCCAGGTCGTCACTCCCAACCCAACCCCCCCAAACCCCTCCAACCCTCATCTCACCCAACTCGATCCACCTCTACCCCACACTGCATCCCCGCCCTCCATCTGGATGCTTCCCCCCCTCCCCCTCCCCTCCCCGCCCATCACCATCCACCACCACCACCACACACACACACCTTGCACTCCAGTGTGTGTGTTTTGACAATCTCCTGTCCCACCGGGCCCCTCCCGAAATCCACCCGGGTGGGGAAGAGCGTCTCATTGGCCACCGGATAGGCGTGAATGGGGATCAGAAGGTTCTCGTCCTAGGAGGGGGGGGGAGGGGGGAGGGAAGGGGGAAGAGGGAGGGGGGAAATCATATCGGGAAAAACCAGAAATGAGCTGCCGGCGCCCAAAGTCCGAAACTGGAGAGGGGGAGGGGGAGGGGTATACAAAGGCCGGTTTTTAAGCTGGGCTTTTTGCGCACCGGAGGGGTGAGATATCTCTATCCCAGTCAAACGTGTCTGTTTGGGCCTCTCTGCAAGCCAGTAGCCGGTATTCGCCCTCCCCTCTCCCTTTTTCCAACCGCAATACTTCCCGCCTTGCCCCTTCTTCCTTCGTCTCTCCGCCGTCTCTGTTTTATGTCCCCCCAAACATACACACATACATACACACGCACAAACACGCACCTCCGAATGCACCCTGATACAGTCATAGTAGTAGCGGTAGTGGCTGGGGCAGAACTCCACCACCACCTCCTCGCTCATACCCGGGGCCAGGAGCCCCTTCTTGTTGGAACAGGTTGCCTGCGGGGAGGGGAGGGAGGGAGGTGGGCGGGGAGGTGCGCGTGACCCACATCCCGGCAACCACCCCCGCTTGCAAGTGTGCACAAAACCCCCCTTCCAACATAACTTCTCTCCCATTACCGCTACAACCACCTTGTGCTTGTGCTTTAATACTCTCTCCTTGTGGGTTTTGTTAACAGTCAAACTTACAATCCCCTGAACCCGGCCGTGGCACGCATCCACGCACACATGCAGGCGCGCACCTTGAAGAAGGGTGTGTTAGGCGCTAGGATATGAAAGCGCGCCCCCCTGGCGCGGACGTTGCGAATAATCAGGGTTTGGCTGTAGACCTGGCCCAACGTGTAGCCGCCAAAATTGAGCACGGCCGGCTCGGCCTGCAGCACGCGCGTGCTGCCGACTTTGCAGTAAACCTGGTTATATGTTAGGAGGTTGGGGTTCCGGAGCGGAGTGTCTTCCACCAGCCCCTGAGGTGGGGGAACACGGGCCACGTGAGCGGTGTTGGTGAGGTCAGGTCTGTAGAAGGTGCGCGATGGCGCTGCTCGCGCATGTGACGAACAGATTATGCAGGCCGGGCCGCGCTCCGCACCTCCATGGCTGGTGGAAGATCCGACTTGGCGAGCATTGTCGCCATTAGGACAGAACGTCACCCCATCGCCAGCGTTGTGCTGCTCCAAGCCTCCACAGTGTCAAGCAAAACGGAGCCCCGTCAAAGTTAAGTCAGTATTATTGGCAAGATCTACACAAAACAGTCTTTTATTAATTATGTAAAAAATAAACGACGATACAGTTGTTTCCCGATTGAATTTCCCTAAAAGCCAAAGCAGATAAACAGAAGGTTATAGTAAGCAGATGGACGATGGGAATTGAAAGCAGTCAGCATCAAGCGTTGCGGGCATCGGCAAGTGAATTTCCTTCGATAAACTACGGCACATGCCGTACCTGGGTGTTTTGTTTGCTTCCAGGTTATGGTGCGTGTTCCCCTAAAGCTGTATGCAGATGACCCGAATCTGCTTGAAATTATCGGCGCCTAATGTGCCTTCTTAATGCTCTCACGGAGTGGTGCACAGGATTTGGGATGACCGTTCACATCCGTAAGTGTGAGGTTGCCTTATTTCACCTCAATTAAGTCCTGCGTGCGTTAACTGGGAGTCTTGTAAAGGTTGGCATGCAGCGAGCAGTGGGACACATTGTGCAGTTTAGATTCCTCGTTCGGACTCTGCACCGATGAGCTATTTACTGCGGGCAGCGAGCCACACATGCCCTGATAGCCAAGTTGCGTCGGAAGGAACTGTTCCTGTCTAAGATAGCGCTCAAATGTTTTAAAGTGCAAGCTAGGTCCGTTCTGTCGTATGGAGTCCAGGTTGTGGGAACCGCAGTTTATTCTCCAGGTCGTTGAAAGACCACCCGATGCACATGGGCGGTCCTGCTACTCCGGAAGGTCGCTAGAGTATCGCATGATCGAGCTGCAACGCACGTTTCTGAGGCATCTGTCTGGGTTAGGGAGGATACCGGATAATCGTGTGTTGTTTAGGGAGCTTGGTCAATGGCCCCTCCACCTTCACTGGGCCTCACTTATTCACCGCTTTTGAACAGGGGTATCCAACAGGGGACTATGTTTCGCAATTTTTTGCGTGAGGAGATACGTCTGGCAGTGCGTTCCGATTATACCGCCACCAACTGGTGTGCCATGCTTTCGCAAAAACTATCTTTCAGTCCTAAGGTGCTTAGGGCACTTCCCGGTGCTGCACTCGGACCTGGATGACGAGGAAAACGTCAATGTCATTTCGTCGAACCCGATCAATGTTAGATCTGTCATGGAAACGTTGAAGGAGCAATTTGATGATGACTGGCAGAACCCACGTCTTATTACTACACCTCGGGGAATTTGTGTCCGTAAACCGGGGGTTCAGATGTGCCGGCATACCCATTGGATGGAATCCCGAAACACACGACGTGCGACATCCTTGCGAAATCATACTTGTCGATGCTGCGGTTTCGCTTAGGGGCGTGGCTTTTGGAGGTTAGCCCACCCGGCGGTCGGTCGCGCCAAGAGCGCTGGTGTAGGATCTGTGGCAACAATAATGCAGTGTAGGATGTGAGTTTCACGTGTTGATAGGGTGTCCCGCCTAAAACGAGCTACGGGAAGGGCTCCTCAACCTAGCTGTACGCCAGGCTGCTATCGAGCCCTTGCCTAATATGAGGTCTGTCTTGGAGACAGATGATCAGCGTGGACTTGCGCAGATCGTACACAACATCTGGTTGATTGCAGAGTAAGTAAGCCTGAGGTCGCTAGTTACTCTAGTTACTGTTTTCTGTCGTAGACGGGGTTCATTACCCCTTTTTTCTTTTAACTTCTTTGTTTCTTCCTTCTCTTTGACTACGCTTTAACTCGCGTTCCATGAGCATCCTGGCTCGTCTGGGCCTTACGAGCTCGCGCTTGTAACATAATATGCTTCCAAGTAGATTGAAAAGGTTTGGTATACAAAACGTCCTGCTGTGCTTACGTGTGCAGCGCCAACCTTCGAATAACATTTGGTCGTGACACTTGAGTTCCGCTGTCGATCTGGCGGGTCAAGCAATAATTGCAGTAGTTTGATGCTTGAGAAGTTGCAGTCATCAGATTCAACGTATCTCAGAGAATGTCTAATGCTGGCGGGGATGCTTGATTTCCGCGACTAGGTAGGCTTTCTGTACTTATGGCGCCTTAGCAAGGGTAAGAACAATATTAACTTCTCAATGGATACCGGCAGCACACAATGCCCAGATGCGCAACAAGGTCTGTGCGTCACGTTCCCTGGCCCATGGGCCCAACTGTCAAGTTCTGACATTTCGTCAAGCCCTAAAAGTTAGCTCCAGACACCGTCAGCGGCGTCCTATTTCAAAACCCATTGACTTTGGACCTGCAGACATAGTCTGCGACACAGAGCCACTGTTTATCGCTCAGATGTACGGCAAAAGAAACCAAAGTTTTGCACAAGTAGATATACTTGCCAGCCTGCATGAACAGATGAATAAAGGTCAGGAGCGCTACCCACCTGCAATGCCTTGTAAGGCCATCACACGGACGCGGCGCGACGCATTTAACACTAACAAAAAACCGCAACGGCTGCGCTACCGCTGCGGCATCAGCGACCGCCATACCCGCCGCAAGAGCCGTATCTGCTATACCCTGCAGCCTCTTCCTCAGGGAGTTTGCGGGGGAAAAGGAGGAGGAGGAAAACTTGGACAGGCCACTTCACGTCGGCCAGCCACCATTACCCCGCTACTCCCCGTCTCCTTTCCCCCTCCTCCCCCCCCCTTCCCCCCCCCTTCCCCCCCTTCCCCCCCTTCCCCCTCCTCCCCCTCCTCTCCCCCTCACTCCCACTCTTCCCTCCCGCTTCTTCCTCTCCCTAAAGGTCCTGCTGCTGGTGGTGGCGCCATGAGCAGCAGCAGCAGGCGGCAGTCGTCACTTCGTCCGCCCTCCTCCGGCCGCCCCGAGCGGAGTGGCAGTGGCCTTGGAAGCCCGGGAGGCCCGGGAGGCCCGGGGGCCGGTACGGGAGGTGGTGGCGGTGGTGGTGGTGGTGGCGGTGGTGGTGTTAGAGGCGGTCGCGGCCGTCGCTCCTACCAGTACAAGTACCGTGCTGAGGCGGTGCGGGAGGCATATCTTAGTGACAAGGAGTCCAGATTGGTGCGTTAGTGAAGGGGCCGGGGGGCCAGAGGGGGTATAGGGGACGTTGTGCGTGCAGAGAGAGAGGAATGGGAGCAATCGGTGGAGGGATCGGTGGAGGAGTAGGACGATTGGGGGGAGGTAGAGTGATAGAGCAGTTAGGGTGGTGGGGGGGATGAAGACGAACCACTGACGATTGAAGCAAACACCAGAGATAGACGGATGGTCCAGGATAAGGTGGGGAGGGGAGTGGGGGTGCTAGAGATAGGGGGGTTGGGGGCGCCGGGGGATACGGTTCATATCAAGAATAACACACACAAACACAAATCCTGTCCTCCGCCCCCCCCCCCACACAATATCTGTCCATTTAAAGTCTGAAAAAAACTTGGCATTGGAGCATGGATAAAACGAATGGCAAAAACACACTCTCTCCCCTCTCCCCCTCCCCCCCCCTCCACTTCCCAGGCCAGCACCCTGCGTGACGCGCTCAAGTCGCTGTTCTCCGAGCCCCGCCTCCCCGACAACCCCTACTACTACCTCGCCGCGGCCCTGGCGGCCCACGTGGATCAGTCCCGGCTGTGGAAGGCGACCGCGGCGGACCTGCTGTCGTCGTACGACGTGGAGGTGCGGAATGGCGACGGTTGGGGTTGTCGCCCGTGTGTGTGTGTGTGTACGTGTACGTGTGTGTGTGTGTGTGTGTGTGTGTGTGTGTGTGTGTGCGTGCGTTTGCAAGAAGAATGTGGAGATGCCCGCCCACATCACCACCGCCCACATCACCATCACCGCCCACATCACCATCCACATCACCCACATCACCACCTTGCCCCTCTCCTCGCCCCTCCGTATCTCCCCGCCTTACCTTCGCCCCACCCAACCAACCACCCAACCACCCGGCAAACGGAACCAACCGCTACCTGACTGCCACCTTCGCCTGTCGCTCCAGGGCAGCTTGGAACCGCTGTACGGCGATTTGCAGCTTTGCAAGATCTCCAACTTCGGCCAGTGCTTCGGACTGCCCCACGTGCTGAGGGTTGTGTCCAGGGAGGGTGAGAGGGGGGTGGGAGCTCCGTTATGAGGGGCCTTATGAGGGGGGGGGCTTGTAATGTAAGGGGAGGGGGGGAAAAGGGGCCGCAAGGAAGGAGAACCCTGTGGTGCCGTGTGGTGTATTGGAGGAAGGCACACGGCAGGAGGAGCCTTTCGCGCGGGGGAGGCGGGAGGGAAGGGAGATGGAGGAGGAGGGGGGGCAAAGCAAGGAGCAAGGGGGGACACCCCCATCCAGCAAGAGATGCAAGCGGAGGTGTGGAGCAAGGGGGGACACCCCCATCTCACGCAAAGGGCCACCCACGGGCATCTCCCCATAACCCACAGCCCCTTTCTTTTTTCGTCATCGAATCCCCAACCACCACGCTCTGGAACCACGTACGACATGGTCAATGGCGTCGTACCCCCCGCCCCAAACCCCCCGATACACCCCGGCATCCCCCATTCCGCCGGGCGCATAGCTCCCTACCGCGGCCAGCTAACCCCTTGACGTCTTGCAAATGGGGAGTCACGACCGGGAAAAACCGCCACTTCCCTTTTTACCCCCAAAAAAACACGCAGGTTCCTCCTTCCTGTACGACGTTCTGATCAACAACTTGCCCGAGTGTCTTTTCCGCCCCAGTCCCGTGTTTTCGAGTTACATTGATGGGCTGGAATACAGCCTGCAAACCCTGTGCTCAGTGCAGGTGGTGGGGGCGGGGCCGAGGGAGGGGGCCCAAGGAGTCGTGTGGGTGTGTTTTTACATGCATGTACGAGGTGTACGACGAGTGCGATGTGGTGTTTGTAAAGGAGGAAGATCTCCTACGGAATGCCGTGAAACGCAACCTGTATGTTTGTATGTTTATATGTGTTTGTATGCAGGCTTAGGACCCAAGGCTGACCCGCGCGCGCGAGAGAATGTGTGCGTGTATGTGTATGTCTCTATGTGTCGCGCAATGATTTAGGTTATACTTCACTGGATTTGGAAAACACACACACGCTCACCCGCGTAGACGCGCACATCTTTGCGGCCCCAACTGCTGGCACTCACCCCACCCCATGTACCCGTACCCCCCCGGTGTGTTCTCCCCTCGATTCGGAACACCCCCCCTCTCCCTCCCCCCTCCATATATTCACAAAATCGCATGCTACATACATACATACGTACGTATGTACGTACAGGGCTCTAGTGCGCTGTGGAATCCCGCTCTCCTGGAATTTCCGGAGTTGGAGATGCGCTGCGATGTGGTGGTGAGAGTGAGGGGGAAAGAGGAAGGGGGAGGTTGGGAAGGGGGTTTGATAAGAAGGGGAACAGACACGAAGCACAGACGCGCCGTGCCCCAACCGCTTCCAGGACCAGGGCCGGGGGACGAATTTCCGGAATGCGAATGCGAATGCGGACCTCTCACCACTCAAATTTAGACAAATACACACCTTACCCCTCCCGCACGCACATACATACGGACCCTCAGATTCGCGGTGGTAAGCTGGAGGAAGCTCTAAAACAGTTTGTGGGTATGGTGGTGGCGGACGCCCGGGAGTTAAACCAGGTAAGTTGGGCAGTTGTTTGGTTGGGTTCGTTGGGTTCGTTGGGGTCAGTTAATAAGGACAGACACACCCGAATATCGGAACCCCACGACTTGGGTTGGTGCGGGGGGGGGCCAGTTCATACCTTTCTAAGATGTGTACATACGTACATACAGATAGACAGACAGACAGAACCCCCCCTCCCCCCTCTCCCACACCCCTCCCACAGATCCCGGTTTACTTCGTGGACGGAGTCACCATTCGGGACGGGCCGGCGACCATGCCTAATCGTAAGGAGGGGCAGGGGATGAATGATGATCCCATGTGCATGTGTACACTTAACCTAATCCGTGCACATTCGCATACGCTAAAACCCGCCCTTCTCAACACAAACCTAAACCCTAAACCCTAAAACCCGCCCCCCCTCAGCTGAGAAGGAACCTTTCCGTTTCTGGGTGCCCCTGGAGTCGGTTTTGGATTCAGCAGGAGATTTCGAAAAGACTGCCGTACGGCTGGTGCTGGGAGGCAAGGTACGGAGGCAGAAGTTGCTTCATGTTCCCTTTCAGCCCGGGGTGGGGTGCTCGTCCCCTCCTTCATCGTCCCCAGCACACCCCTCCCGGTCTTCCCCCCACCTCTATTTCTACTCCCCCCCGGCCCCCCGCCCTCGCTCTTGCGTTTGATTTCCCGCTGCCGTACTGTCCTGCCGTACTAACCCCCCGTACGAACGCACACGGCCCCCAGGTTCTGACCCTCCACTGTGTTTTGTTGGTGGAGTCCCCCTCCGACCACACCGACCCCAGCTCACGTAAAGTGCTGCGGTACGAGATGGCGAGAAAGACGTACCTACTGCACTACCACAGGTACGGCAGGGGGGGAAATGGGGGAGGGGGAGGGGGAAAGGCAGGGGAGGTGTGCGTGTGTGTGTATGGGGAGGGGGGGCAGGAGGGGAAGTAAGGGCATGCGTGTCTAACGCGTCGTGAGTACAAAATGCTAATGTACGGCAAGGGATGAACGCGGCAGCCGAAACACATAGTCGGCTGCGGGGTCCACCCTCGACACCCTTCATGGGCCCCTCGCACCAGTGCACTCACACGTGCCTATCTACGTACATCCCCCCAACAAGCAAATCCCAACTGTCAAGTAACTACACAACTGCCAACTAACAAGACCAGCCTCATGTTTTTGTCGTTGGATGCGCTCTGCCCGGTCGCTGATCATGGTACGGCAACGGTACGGTATGGATGTTACGTGGTATCGTACAGTGACCTCGATGCTCGGCCGTCGCTGACGCAGCCCATGTCACACTTTGGCTGCAACCCGTACGACGCGCTTTACGGCGGTTACTTTTTGGACGTGAGCTCAGCCCGGCAGTACGGCGCCTTATACATGAGTACGGACAGGCAGCCATACCACCGGGACAACCTAGCAAAGCAGGTATAGTAGCACAATATACGGCACAGCTATAGTATTCCTGCCCCAACCCCTCCTTATTTTGCAATCCCGTCATCCCCCCCTCATCCCCCCCTCATTCCCCCTCATCCCCCCTCATCCCCTTTCCCCCCACACCACAACAGCGGCAGGCGGCGGCGGTTATGGTGGTGGTGAGGGTGCTGGCCCCCCACCGGCCAGCTGGGTTCTGGACGTGGGGTTAGTGCGCGGGGCTCAGGTATGTGAGGGGGGATGGGGGGTTGGGGGAGAGGGGTAAGAGAGGTGGGAAAGTAGGGTAGTACGGCATCCGCAAACCATATTACTTGCTCCAGTGTACGGAAACAAAGCACCATGCAGCGGTCGCCAGTGGTCGCAAAATCCACCTTGTCGTCATGCAGAAAGGCGGACAGACAGACAGACAGACAGACAGACAGACATAGACTACCAACACAAGGTGATGGTTGGCATGGACTGGGGTGCAGATCAGGGTGGCCCGTCCAGCTCTGAAACCATCTGATCCCCCGGGTACAAATGGCTCCGATGCCCGCATTCAGCCTCTCCTTACCCAAAACACACACCCAAAACACACACGCACACGCACACGCACACGCAGGTCCGTTCCGGAGCGCTTGCGGAGAGAGTGAGCACGGAGGGGGTCATGTTGCAGGTGAGGCCACAATCCAATGGTGTGCGTGTGGGACCGTGCTCGTGTCGCCGCGTGTGTTTTCCGCGTGTGTGTTGATGTCCCTCCGCCCAGCCGTCCCTTCCTTCAGCGGTTCGTCTTACCCCCCCTTCCTTCCCCTTATCTCCCCCGCCCCACCCCCGGGGCACAGTACGCTGTGGATACAAAATTGGACGACATGTTGGCTACGATTTGGCAGGTACGGCGTACGGCACACGTGATGGTGGTTCTGAACGGATGACTGGTTTTGTTTGTTACTGCCACCACTGTAGGTAGTTAGCGGTTGCTATAGTTATTGTTAGTTTCGTTGTTTGTACTGCTTAATTCCCAACCCGTCAACCCTTCCTTTCCTCCCTCCCACGCATACATGCATACGCACATACACACGCATACACACACACGCACAGGCTATAACTGACCCGCCAATGCCGATGAACCCGTACCCGCGCCTGCTGCAACTTCTCAGGTACGGCATTTGGTTGTTGGGGGTTGGGCGGGGTTGGAGGAGAAGGGTGTGGAGGAGAGCGGGGTCACAGCTGGCGTGGGGGAATAGTCAGGAAAGGATGAGCAAGTGGCAGCTGTAGTTCGTAGTGGGTTCGTTCGTACCTGTGTGGCGAGTACGGCATCTGCCGTGAACAGTTTAAAATTAAAAATGGATTTAACTGCTGACATGGACATAGGTTTGTTCACAGCTCGGAAACTCTCTACAGCTAATCAGAGCTAACTAGCACAGAGCCGTTATGCACTCTTGCCATATCGTATTCTTCTTACAGCGCCTACCGTCAAAACGTTATCGTACATGGCTGTACGGCATGTACACATTTTTTCGTACATTGTCGTACAGATCTCAGGCTGTCAAGATGGAGCTTTGGAACGAGGATCCGGAAGACGCCCTATCGTCGTACATTATCAACGAACTAGCGCTGCTGCGGCCCCCCTCCTTCATATACGCGGCGCACCGGCCGCCGGCGGCGCCAAGCCGCCGTCAAGGGCCCCGTCAGGGTCGTCGCCAGGGGGGCCGTCAAGGCCAGGGCGGCGGCGGCGGCGGCGATGGCGAGGAGGACGATCAGTTGGTCGGTTATGGTTGTTACGCGGCGGTTAGCTGTGTGGATGTACGGGCGCTGAGTGCGTTACAGTCGTCGTTGGGTTCCTTGCTGGCTGACCGTCACTGGCAGGTATGTCTGTACATATGTATGTATGTTTGTGCACATGCATGTGTTTCCTATGTATCTATGTATGTATGTAATTTGCGTGTTGCGGTGCTCGTCCTGTTGCGGTCTCCACTGCCGATTCGGTTTTAGATCTGTCCACCCATTTTTTGAGCCGCACGCTACTGCTACTGTTAACGCTTCTCATAGATCCCTTCCGCACACCCACACTGCTCCTTAACGGTTGACACTGCTACTGCCAACTGCTCCACCTGCTACTAACATGCTACTGCCACTGCTGGTACTAACTCCTTTGGTGCTGCCGATACTGCAATCCATTTGGGATTTACAACCGACGTTCCAACCGTTTTAACCGTTTCTTTCACCGTTTGACGGCGTCCTGAATGGATTGCCGTGTTTGCTGTTTCAGATGGGTGCCTACCAGGGGGAGGTGGTTCCGGCGCTGGTCGGCGATATCGCGGTTTCAAATGTCCTTCGGCTTGACCTGTGTGGAAGCGGAGGAGGGGGGGGGTTTGGGGGCGAAGGGGGAGGGGGTCCCGGAGGGCCGCAGCGGGGCTTTGGCGGGGCGGCAGCAGCAGCGGCAGCAGCAGCAGCGGGGGGAGGAGGGGGATTTGGTTTGGGAGGCGGCGGGAGGCGCCTGACGGCGCCGTTCGAGCACCCCCGATTGTACGGCTTGGAGGCGGAGGAGCACCATCTCGTGGAGGGGCCCCGGAGGAAGGAGGCCGCGCAGGTGTGTATGTAGGTATGTATGTAGGTAGGTAGTCACTCAGATAGTCAAGGTATTAGGTAGATAGGTACGTGTGCGCGTATGTATGTATGTTTGTATGCGTGTGTGTGTGTAACGCCTACAAGAAGCTCCCCTCCTAACAGTGGGCCCACTGGGGGAGTGTAACCTCTCGTACTCTCCGGCGCTCAAATAAAAACCCATTTCACGTTTGCCCCGCCCCCTTTCCCCTCCCGCCAAACGCGACCTCTCAGGCCTTTGCACGGGAGGTGGTTTCGGAGCTCCAACAGCTCCACGTCAGCAGCGCCCACATCGTGTTTAGTGTGTCAGTGGCGGGCGGGTCGTACTTTGACGCCACTGATCTGTGGGGTCTCTCCCCCGCCTCCCATCCCCACCCCCACGGCGCGTTGGGGGCTCCCGAGGGAAATGGGGCTGCTGCCGCTACTGCCGCTGCTATTGCTGCTGCTGCTACTGCCGCTGGGCCTCAACCGGGTGGCGGTGGGGGAGGCGGAGGCAGGGTTTTGTCGTACAGTGGATTGGATCGGCTTCGGGGGGAGCTCATGGAGGCGGCTCTACGTTCTCCCGAGGTGGGTTTTGGCTTTGCGGTCTGGGAGGTGTCGTCCGTTGTCCGTTGGTATCGGTTGACACAACCATATATGCATACACATACACGCACACGCACACGCATTTTCCCGCCCTCTCCCCTGCCCCGCCCTCTCCAATCCCCCTTCCCTAACTCCCAACCGCCATCCAGGGCCAGCCACTGGCCAGTGTGTCCCTCTACGTCGCCCCCTCCCGGGAGAACACCTACGTGGCACTGACACGGCACGTCATGTTCCAGTACCGCAAGGTGTGCGTGGATGGGTTTTAGGTCTGGACGACCTCTCCTCCCCTTGGGGGGGGGGGAGGGCGGGGACTACCAGTAGTGAAAAACGTTTTGTCAGTCCGTTCATCAGTTTGTTGTTGGTTTTTCTTGTTGGGAGGGGTACGGGTTTCCCTGTCCACCCCCGCCCCATTTTCCCCCTTTTACCCCGCCCTACATACACACACGCGCCAGCGTCAGGCCCGGCAAGATATGTAATACATATGTAATACATACATACACACATACACGTACGGATACACACATACACGTACACGTACACATACACACACATACACACATACACGTACACATACACACACGTACACATACATAAACAAAACCCCAACCCCCGCCCCAACAGGTGAGCCCCCTGCTGGTGCCCAACGTGTTGGTCACCCCCGTGATGCCGCAGCCCAAGAGACCCACCACCGCAGAGCAGCAGGTGTGTATGTGCGTGTGTAAGTATGTAAGTATGTAAGTACCTGTGCGGATCGTGTCTCGTTCAGCACGCACTTGCCCTTCCCCCCTCTCCCTTCCACCCAGCAAACCACCGCATGGTAAGGAGCGTTTGTGATTTGAGGAACAAAACCTGGAGGCCTTCCCACGCGTTCCCTTTCTTTCCCCTCCGGACATACATACATACATACACACACAGGCCGAGCTGTGGCCCTCCGCCGTCTACCAGCGCGTCTTCCTGTCCGAGTTCAACGCCTCCACATGGTACGGTGTGTTGTGGTATGGTATATAAGTGTCCGTACTTTTACTGAGGAAAGGTTGCCGTATCGTGTCCTGCCATGTCGTACTGTGTTGTGTGTCGTCCCCGCTTCTACCCGCGTAGGACTCGGCATTGCAACTGCTGTTGTTGCTGTTACCGCTACTGCTACTGCTGCTGCCGCTGCTGCTGCTAGGAATGTGCGATGTGTATGTTCCTCGCCATGCTTCCTTCCTGGTCAACGGTCAACACCTTACCCTGTTGCCGTACAGGTACAGCTGGAACTCGGAGCGCGGCGATCCAGCACAGCCGTACCATTATCGTGCCATGGTGGCTGCCGTACAGGAGGCGGCACCCAAGCTGGAGGTGTGGGCGCGTGTGTGTTTTGCGACTGGAAGGAGACCGAAGGGCGAGGGGGCCGACGAAGGACCCGGGCCATTCAGGGGGGTATGGTGCGATGTGGCGCATGTACTGCAATGCCGTACAGAGCCGTACCGTTCCCCACCCACCACCATTGCACCTGATCCTAATGTCACCTTGCCCCCTCTTCCATTTCAGTACTTTCGTTGTTGTCGTCATCAGCCTCGTACATAATCATCATCACCAAATTACACCGATGCCGACGCCGTACGCCCGCTGGCCCCTCACCCCACCCACCCCACCCCTCGACCGCCCCTCCCCCCCGCATCATCAATGTACGGCACGCAGTCCGCGGGTCGAGTACTGCAGCTGCAGCGATCCCTGTTGCAGGTGGGCGCTCTTAGGAACTGTTGTTGGCGTTACGGGTTTGATACTTTTGCTTTTTGTTTCTGATTCCGTGTGGTTTTCCTGGTTGAACATGTGCGTCAGTACGTCAGTACGTCAGTACGTCATGGACAAATGTACAGCAGCGTGTGGTGGTCGGCGTCGACACGCCCACCCGACCACATGAACACAAGCTGCTTCTCCCCCCACCCGGTGTTTTCTCTTGACAGGAAACACGAAATACATACATACGTATATACATACACACGCGCCCAGACATACACGCACACCTGACCCCATCTCCCCTTTCCCCGCTCCTCACGTTTCTGAAGAAGACGACCAAAGGGCCCCCTTTGGTTCGGATACACCCCCCAAGTGCCCCCAATATCCAGTTGCGGTCGCCCTGCCTAATCGTCGACCTTCCCGGGGATAGTCCCCCCCCAGGACCACACACAGATACACACACACATCCCAAACCCCCACACGCACAACCGCCGAACCCCCGAACCCCCCCCCACACACGGCGCCAGGCCGCCATTGCGCTCCAGGACCACATGCGAGTGTACGAACTCAGCCGGGTGTTTGCAAGTCCCGCTCAGGAGCTCAAGTGCCTGCAGGTACGAGTGCGAGTACGAGTTTGAGTGTAGTACGAATGAGTGTACGGAGGTCCCCACGGTAGCTGTGTGGTCGTTATCGTTTCGGCATGTTTTAATGAGTATATGCTTCTCCTCAGGAGATTTCTTGCTTTCTTTGCCGATTATGGCGTAATAATGCTTCAACAGTCCTGCCACCATGCCCTTTGATGGTTTATTTTTTTTATATCTCTGTACTCGGTTCTTTAACGATATTGGATATCTGCCGTACAAATGCCTTGCAATTTCTTTGCAACTACCTCTTAACCACTTCAGGAGATTCATCAGGCCCTTGTGGATCTGCTCTCCCCCGGGCATGAACCCCTAACCGCCAAGCGGGACAACGAACGCGTACGGCACCTGCTCATGACGTATGTGCAGGTATGTATGTCATGTGTGTGTGTGTTTGAGAATGTGTGCACACACGAACGACATTCCAGAACCTGCATGACGTGATGATAAACTATGGCGAAATGGTCCTAGCTGTGCTGGTGGGTGGATGGGGGTTCATGCGACTACAGAGGCGATGGTGTCATGTATTTCGAACCCCTTGTCCCCTTGTCATCCCCTTTGGTTATCGTCCCCTTTAGTTCTTCATCCCCTAAAGGGGAACTTTAGGGGATGTTCCCCTTCGGGGATACCAAAGGGGAACCCCCTCGGTTTCCATATTAAACCGAGGGGGTTTTCACCACCCTGTCACCGCCGCCAGTCACCGGTGTCCCCAAGACATTTTCAGTAACCATCCCTCCGAGTTCCATTCCCCCATCCGTTCATACACACACATATATATCAGGGTTCGACACTGACCTTCCCGAAACTTGCGGGATCCCCCGAACCTCCCAAATTTTCCTTACGGAGGGGCCCCCGTACCAGGCTCCTGTACTGGCCGAAAACCTTACGGGGGCCCCCGTAACCCCGCAAAACCTTTACGGGGACACTGTCCTTGGCTAAAACGCTGTGGAAAGTGACACTTTGCATTTTTTTGCCCTGTAAATCGTTATTTATGTTATTTTCCCGTGAACCATTACACACGGGGACACGGCACACTCAGCGAAAGCCAAGCGCCTTGGCCGCCGCGGCCGCCCATCCCTTCTGCTCCTCTTTCGCGTCCTCATCATCATCATCAAAATCCTCATCCACGGACGACTCATCGGTATCTCGTTCTACGTCGGTCTCGTAGTCACTGTCACTAAAAGCCTCATCGTCACTAGCGGGGTATGTTGCTTGTACCAGTACTTCAATCTCTGGGTCCGTCGCAACCTCCTCGTTATCATCCTCTCCGTATGGATTCAAATTAATTTTGCTAACGTCAGAAAACAACTTGTGAATAATGCCTGTATAACCCTTACGCGAGTAGATCCCAGCAGCCTGATCAATCAGTGGCTTCGCCCCGGTATCAGCAGCAGGTCCCAACATGCCCACACGAAGTAGCGAATCAACCGTTTCCAGCTTTAGCCGGTTCGTCAGGCGATTCTGCCGGTTCGTGCAGCCATTCTCCTTCGCAAACGCCTCCCATTTCCCTTGCATCTTGGAAGACTTGGCAAACAACGCATGCACTGACTTCAGCAGGTCATCTAACTTTTCAACATGGTTCAATTCTCGAGCAACATCGCCCATGACTAAGGCAGTGCGGTGCGCGCAGCAGTGAACAGCCAACAGGTAGCAAAGGTTCTTGCGTAGTCGTGCAGCTACGCCTGTGTGCTTACCCATGTACACACTTGCACCATCACACCCGTAACCAACCATTTTGGAAGCTATAAAAGTATTATGAAAAGTGTAGTTAAATATTGCAATATGAATTATGCCTGCCAAGTGTGGGGCCTTATCCTTTATATGGTCCGTCCTCTCCCCTACAGGGCCCCGTAAGGCATCATATAAATCCTTAAATTCCTTACGGGAGTCACCGTAACCGGCCTTCGGCCTGTCCGGGGGCGGCCCCGTACGGGGCGCTTCGCGCCCCAAAATCTTTACGGGAGCCACCGCAAAGTCCTACGGACCCGTACGGGGATACCGAAAAAAGGCCAAAAATTTACGGGCCCCGTACGGGGTGTCGAACACTGATATATATACACACACATATACGGCTCTTCTACATCAGCCACTGTCCCAACCTCCGTTATCTCTTCCCCCGCACCGCCTCCCCCAAACAGCGAGTTCGAGCCGCCCTCACTAATCCCAAGTACAACTACTTTTCTGGGCTGGCGGCTGCCGTACCTGCCGTACTTTCAGAACTGCAGGAAGAGGTCTTGTCTTCCTTCACCCTCAACGCAAGGTCCGTCTTTACGTCTGTCTGTGTGTGTATATGTCTGTGTGTGAGCGCGTTTCTATGTGTGGTGGGATTTTAACTGTTTCCTTTTCCTTACCCTTCCTAAAAGATTCCCCGGCTTCCGAATGAGGGGATTCCTTCCTGTTTTGCTTTTCTTGGTTTGATGATGGTCTTGATGATGGAGATTCACTGCCGCCGTTTCATCTTTTTTCCCTCTTCTTCTTCTTCTTCTTCTTCTTCTTCTTCTTGTTCTTGTTCTTCTTGTTCTGGCGATGATGATGGTGATGGTCATGTTGGCGCATGGTGTTGGCGCAGGCTCCGAGACCTCATGCAGCGACTGGCGGTGTGGACGCAAAGCTGTGAAATCTCAGTGGCCTCTGCCGTACACGCTGGAATTGGAGATCTGGGTCCTCTGTTACTCGGAGGGGAGGGAGGTGGGGCAGCGCACGGCTACCTGGGGCTTGGACCGTTGGAGACCTAGGAGCATTGGCGAATCTAGCCAATCTTTCAAATCTGAAGTCAGCCGATCACACGGCAGGTGGTCAGCAAATTGGCAAGTTAGCAATGATGATGGTGGCTTTAGCAAGTGATGCTAAGGTTTGTTGTTTGTTGTACGACAAGAAAGGAGATCTGTCGAGTGTGTGTAAAAGGAGCGAGAAAAGAAGCTTATGGCTGGGGTTGGACGGGCATGCATGCAACGAGCGGACATAATATGATGTACGTTGGGTACGTGGATGCGTGCATCTGTATGTGCATCTGTATGTGCAACTGTATGTGTGTTGATGGTTGGGTTTGCATCCAGAGCCAGATTGGACCAGATTGCACCATGTTTACAGCGCGCGATTGAGACAACTCACGGCTCAACCAACGCCGTGCAAAACTCCGAAATAAAACGCACCTGGAAGCGGAAGCTGATACGCGAAAGTTATTAGGTGAGGTGGGCCATACATAGAGGTGGCCATACACGAAGACCCTTGCCGCCTTCTGTGTGTGCGTAGACTGCGATCCAGCAGTAGTGGGGCCTAGCACAATCCTAGACGTTACGTCAACATGGATGGCACAGTTAACGCCGCCCTCCATCTTCCCATCTCTACAGGACTCAACCCACGCACCTTCACTTGTTGTTGCTGGTGCTGATGCTCGGCTGTCGGCACCGGTGCCTGTCCAGGTGGTGACGGTCACCAAGAGTCAAAGAGTGCCTCAATTTCAAATATACGGCTTTGCTGCTTTTTCTGTGTAGGAGAGAAAGTTAGGGCAGCGTCTTGGCTTGGCCTTTCTAGGTTCGGGAAGGGTTTTCTGTTGCCTGTGAAGTCGCAAGGACGAAGACCGATTGTGTTGCCTACGTAGTACGGCAGTGCTTGGTAGGCCACTGCGAGATCGCAACGCTATATTGTGCCGGGATTTGCACGCTTCAGGCAGAATCCTTGGTTCAGTGAAGGATCAAAAGTACGGTCGTGGCTGGAATAAATGCAAAATGCATTTGCTGGGTTCGGTGCGGCACAGGAATGGAGACGGCGGGGGTGAACGGAGCTGTAAGCCGCCCAAGTCAACCGCGACTGCTGAAAGGAAGGTTGCGGGATGCCCGGTCAGCGGTCCCCTGCGGCCCCGTGCTCAAGGCTAAGGCCCGCGGTCGGGAAACTCAGTGGCTGGGAAGGGGTTAACCGCAGACGGTACCAAGACTCTCATGCAAATGTCTCCAGTGGCGACGGCAACGGGTTTGGTTTTCTTCGGAGTGTAGAGTCGTCCTTGTAGCATCGCACCGTCTTCCCTTTGCCTTTGGACGAAAACCCTCCATACATGGAAACGAGCCAGTTGCACGGCAAAAAGCGTCAAGGCCTCTTCAAGGAATGTAAAAACCCCTTTAAGTAGGACAACTTGACTTTGTAACGTGCAAGGAGGATGCCCTAGATGGTGCGCTGCTCCCTCAAGCTGCTGCCCCTTGAAGCTTAGATTTGTTTGCGGGCATGCCATAGTCCATGAAAGGGAAGTATTCCTGGAAATCATCACTGCCGTTAGCTGTGGCAACGAAACTCGACAAGGAGGTTTTTGAAGAACCTTCCCTGCATGCACCGTACCGGTACAACGACATGACGGACTGAGTTACGCAAGTTTACGCCTGTCATACACATTAAGCCTTTGATGATTAACAGCGCAGAAAGACCTTCTGTTCTCTGACAATTTGGAAAGCCCACGTCCATAATGCGTAAACAGCTCGTGGCTGGCATTAGAGTTTTCCTTCAACTTCTATTTATGTAACTAAGATCGCTCATCCAGGTTCAGGCGTTTATTATTTATGCGGCAATTCTTTTAGTGGTAGAAGTGCTTGTTGCAAGGAAAAAGCCTCAAACAACATGTGGCATCGGTACATAATTGTTACTGTCGTGATTTTCGGTGAGAGTCGCGTAATGGGCCCATGCTGTGGTTCGTGTATGGCTTACGCGTCTGGACTTCCGCAAAGTTCCCCTCCATGAGTAATTTTTTGCCATTTTGCAGCTTTGGTTTCAACAGCTCTTGGAGCCTGTAAAATTCCAAATGAGAGTCATGCTATAGACTTGGCGTTTGGGACCTTGAACGAAGGGAACGTCTCAAACAGTTCTTGTGACCATTGGAAGCTGTCGCAGTCCGTCGTAGGCGAAGACGACACGTGCTCCTCCTTCTCAGGGTACGGTAGATCACGGTGGGCAACTTGCGGTTTGCAGCTCAGCTTAACCCAAGCACAGACCGTGTCCCTTTCACCGCATTTCTAAGGGCTGCGCTAAGCATGATTCGTTACACGCATCTGCCGTTGCCGAGTTAAGGAGTCCTATCGCCTCCAGCCGACCCGTGCTCAGTCAAACTCCCATGCCCTTCCCCCTCTTTTCCCCCTCCCCCGAACTCAGCCATGCAGCCCATTTCACCCTTGCAGCCGTTTCACCTTCTTTGCGCCACACTGCTCCAGCACACCATACCCTCCTGCATCCCTCAACTTCCTGTTCCCTTCCATCGTCCTCCATACCTCGCTGCCGTCGCGTACCTCCCAACCCTATCACTTCGCCCTCCCCCACAGAAATAATACTTACCTCCTTTTTGAATTTTGGCGGAATGTACCGGAAGCGAAGTACCCGCGGTCTTCCCGGCTGGTGGTCTTCATGGTGGTTCGCGGCAGTCAGCCCACCGTAAGTCTGTTCCCTCAGCTTCTGGCCCCGGGCTGGACTGCGGGGAACGGGATTCGCGTGTCTTGCCCTCTTGCAAGCGTTTCTGGATGCAGTGCAGTGCCTTTTCAGTGAAAATGCTGCCCCGAAGGGCACGTTGCTTGCTTGCTAAGCAGTCCTATCATTGCTATATTTCAAAGTCAACAGTATATCAACGGTATATCTCATTATTATTCCCTCCTCATCCCACCCCTTCGCACGTTGACCCCCTTGCATGGATCCCACCCAACCCCCAGAACCTAGGGGCCGTCAGCAACAGATTGTTGCCTTTGTGTTCGATTCCCGCCACCTTCCCTCCACCCAACCTAACCGCAGGCAACGTTCGACAACGGTGTGTATTCTTACGATCCCCCCCTCGCTGACGAGCCCCAGCTGGGCGACAGTGGCACTCTGGTTGACAGCGCCGTGATGTACAGCGAGAGGTCATACCAGCGTATTGTGGTGCCGCTAGGCGCCCAGTCCACCAACGGGGCGGACTGGTGAGGGGTGCTGGCGGCAACTGGGTGGAGAGAGGGACATACACACACACACACGGAGGGGAGGGGAGGGAAGGGGTGAGGGGAGGGGAGAGGGTGAGGGGGGGGGTGAGGGGAGGGGTGAGGGATGGGGGGGGAAATAAGGATACTTTTTCCGCGCCATTCACTCTTTGTTCCCTAACGTCAACTTCTGAGGGTCCCCGCGAGGGGGGAAAAGGTCTTTGGGACGGGGCGGGAGAAGCGACGGTGAGACGTTGAGAGACTTCTACACGTACACCTGTTGAGCTCGTCTACTTGTCGCATGACCGACCCTTCTCCCATATTCCCTCTCTTTCTCTCTGCTCCTCTCTCTCACACACACACAGGTATGTGACGGTGGCCAATCTGGTTGATCCTCAGCCTGTGCAGTACAAGTTCCGAGTGCAGTGCGTCGCACCAACTGACTCCCAACCCGTGCCTTGTCCGAGGCCCGCTCCAGACCTTCCGGAATGCGGGGGCCCCGACAGGGGGACGTGTGGGACCCCACCAGAGGTGCGGGGGCCGGGGTGCCAGGGCCGTGACTCGGCCGCCAGGGAGTTTCACGAAGCAAAGGAAGCCGCAGCCGAATCAGTATGATCGGAAGTTGGGAGGATGAGGAGGGGGCCGTGAAATGGGTAAAGGCCGCGGGAGGGCTGAGGGGGTCCATGGGAAGGAGGAGGAAGAGGAGGAGGAAGAGGGGGCCTGTGAGAGGGAGGCAGGAAGAGGAGATTAGGGCAGGAGCTGCAGAGGATGTGGAGGGGGGGAAGGACGGATTCGGTGGCTCTCCCCCCTTGCTCTCTGACTCCCCGCAAATGCTGTGCAGTGCATTGACTGTACCGTGCTCGGGCTGTTCGCCGCGCCATGCACCTGTACGTGTATGTATGTATGTATGTATGTATGTATGTATGTATGTATGTATGGCGTGAGCTCTTTATTTGCGGCGTCGCACTTGCGCTTTCGCCTCGTGCAGGATGTGGATCGTCCCCTTCTCAATACAATCTGCTACTGCCAACGTGACTGGGGCGACTACAACTGTCAGATACGCGCCCCGCAGCTCTCCAACGGCGATGTCGTTTCCGCGCTCTTGTCCCCCGGCCAATGGTCGTACTGGCAGCTGAGTGTGCCGCTGCCGGCAAACTGGGCGGAAACCCGCGGCCTCTACCCGGCGTTGCTGGTGGAGCTGAGCCGCTCGGGCGGCGACCGCTTCCCGCCTGGCCCGGCTGTCGGGCCGTACGGCGGCAACCCGGTCTTGATGGTCATGCCCAAGAAGGCCGATGAAGGCAACCGAGTGCCGTACGATAGAGACGGGTTTGCAGATTGGTCGTCGTTTGTCCTACAGCAGAATTTCCATTACGTACTGGATCGACACTTGGCTGAGCATGTGACGCTTCAAGCGGCGCCT